AAATCCCCCAATCAATCCAGATAAACCTGTTAAATCATCTGATGAAATTGTATTACCATCACAATATTCATTCATTCATTTTCTTGTCAGCTTAGTCCCTTTATTAATCCGGGGTCGCCACAGCGAATGAACCGCTAACTTATCCAGCAAGTTTTTACGCAGCGGATGCCCTTCCAGCCGCAACCCATTTCTGGGAAACACACACACACACACACACACACACACACACACACACACACACACACACACACACACACACACACTTATCCACTATGGACAACTTGGCCTACCCAATTCACCTGTACCGCATGTCATTGGACTGTGGGGGAAACCGGAGCACCCGGAGGAAACCGGAGCGACTGCAGGGAGTACAAGCAATCTCCAGTCAGAAACGCCAACTGAGCCAAGGCTTGAACCAGCGACCTTTTTGCTGTGATGTGACAGCACTACCTACTGCGCCACTGCTTCGCCCAGCATCACAATATATATCACAGAAATACAAAATACTGTAATGTCAGATGTTTCCAATATTGTGCAGCCCTAATTCAAGTATACAGATATTTGTTAAACTAATTTCCATGACTATTTCAAAACTCTGAGTTTTTCTGTTTTTCCAAAACTATTCCAGGGGGCTTGAAAATACCATGTCAAAATTCCATGACTTTTCCAGGTTTGCCATGACCGTATGAACCCTGAATAATGTCGACACCGATTAACATTTTGGTAAAATGGAGCATTTATGAATTCGAAATGTAAAAGAAGTTAAAACTAGAGTTCCCAAAATAATGTGGACTAATGTTAATTAAATCGTGACACAAAAGCATGGGATCTGTTGTCTATTTTACACTATCAGTTAAATATCAGTTAAATTATTGTGTTAAGGAATCTGTGTGATTTACAATATGTTTTCTATTGATTTGCACTCTCAGTTTGCAGTACGGGTAGTTTAGAGTTTGGAACATTACATTGTGCTAGGGGCAAAGCAGTAGGTAGTGCTGTCGCCTCACAGTAAGAAGGTTGCTGGGTCGCTGGTTCGAGCCTCGGCTCAGTTGGCGTTTCTGTGTGAAGTTTGCATGTTCTTGTTTGTTTGTTCTCCCTGCGTTTTGCGTGGGTTTCCTCCGGGTGCTCCGGTTTCCCCCACAGTCCAAAGACATGCGGTACAAGTGAATTGGGTAGGCTAAATTGTCCGTAGTGTACAAGTGTGTGAATATGTGTGTGGATGTTTTCCAGAGAAACATCCACACACGTTTTGTGGCTGGAAGGGCATCCGCTGCGTAAAAACTTGCTGGATAAGTTGGCGGTTTATTCTGTTGTGGCAACCCCGGATTAATAAAGGGACTAAGCCGACAAGAAAATGAATGAATATTGTACAAGACACTATTTATTCAGAAAAAAATTGCATAAAGTATATTGTGTCAAAGTAGCTTAACATAGATGGACAATAAAAAAACATAATATTTCAGAGAGTGGAAAACTCCAGGAAAACTCGGAGGCAGGAAAGTAGAGGTAGAACAGAAAGTTGGTTTAGTTTGGATTCAATTCAGAAAATAACAGAAAAAGTACTTGAAGTTTATTAACATGGGTTACCAACCCAGACAATATATTATATCAAATGATTAATAAAAGTCACTTTGTTAACTTTTTAACATTTAAAGAGCAGAGATCAATGTCTCATAATTCAAAAGTGTACATCATCAACTTTACTAAAAAAACACCCATAAATAACTTTTTTAAATGTATTGTTTACATGTGTACACTGTAATAAAAAGAGAGGGGGAATCATTTGGATGATCAGATCATAGTGGACTGAAAAGAGCTGTCTCAGATATTCTTACAATATGAATAATCTCAGACTAAATAATAATAATTTTCATTTACTTCATTTATCAAGTTATTTTTATCATATTTCTGCAAAGTTAACATTAACAATGCAGTAAAACTACTCTTCTTACTTCTCAGATCGACTCGTACTTCCAGCACAGTAGTAAAAGCTGTCATGCAAACAAAAACACTACCTGAGAAACACTAATAATATGTTGGACATTTGATATCTTCTTTGGTAAAACGTCTTGTAGAACGAGAATGACATCTCTTTACTGTTTGGAATTCCCTGCAGTACTAATATGTTACACGATCCATGTTTACATGTGAATCAGTGTTGACTTTTTAGGTCATTAAGAAAGGTTTTTTATAACCCACAGTCAATGCTAAAGAAAACAACAGTAAAATAAAAGTGTAACCATTCGATAGAAATACAGAAATAAAATAAAGTTTTATGGATTTAATTTTAATGATTACCCTTTAATTTTGTGTTTTAATGTTGTTGTTGTTGTTTTATTTAGCATTCACTCTGGGTTATAAAAATGTTTTTTTAGTTTTAAGTTTAAGTCAGGTTTATTGTCAAATATGCTGAACTATCTTGATATACAGCACAGATTAAATTACAGTCCTCTCAGCATACAGTGCAAACAAGCAATATAAAAAACAATATACAAAACAAGAGTGTCAATTTATTATTATTATTCATTCATTTTCTTATCGGCTTAGTCCCTTTGTTAATCTGAGGTCGCCACAGCGGAATGAGCCGCCAACTTATCCAGCATATGTTTTATTATGCTGCAACCCATCACTGGGAAACATCCACACAGAAGCATACACTATGGACAATTTAGCCTACCCAATTCACCTATAGCACAGGTTTTTGGGGTTGTGGGGGAAGCCAGTGCATCCGGAGGAACCCCACGCAAACACAGGGAGAACATGCAAACTCTAAACAGAAACGACAGCTGGCCAAGCCGGAGCTCGAACCATGCAGCAACCTTCTTGCAGCTACCCACTGCGCCACTCTGCTGCCCTATTATTATTATTATTACTATTATTTCTACTTCTTTTCTGTACCACTTTTTTATAAATACATTTTACTTTATATCCTGCTTGCTCGAGTCATCACACATCACATCAGATACAAAAACAGAACACAAGGTCCTGATGTTTGCTCACAGTGTGCTGTAATACACTGAAAATCATAATCATATTGATTATAACTGTGCCACATCTCTGAAGGTCATGCAGTGATTATTTTTTTATATATGAATCACTGTCTGAACTTCTGAGATTTTAATATCTGGATGTTATATGAAGATTACAGTCAGAACATGTCTTTTTTTGTTGTTGTTTAACAATTAAAATATGATACATCATTGATTGATTGTCCAGTACAGTCCTACATTATACATATTGAAGCAGTATTACTTAAAATAGACCTTTTTTTAGCGGCTTTGCTATTTATATTTTATGATATGGCATAAGAGAAATTACACAAAACTTGAGTATGTGTTAAAGATGCATTCAATTATCTTGATAGATTTTTTATATTTGTAATATATTTAACAAGGTATTACTGAAATATAGCAAGCTGCTGTCTTATTCAGATTCACATTGTGTCAAGTTTAATAATAATAGTAATAAAATAATAATTCCTTACATTTATATACTGCTTTTCTAGTCACTCAAAGCACTTTACGCAATGGGGGAATCTCCTCATCCACCACCAGTGTGCAGCATCCACCTGGATGATGCGATGGCAGCCATATTGCGCCAGACCGCACACGAGCTGATTGGTGGAGAGGAGTGATGAACCCAATTATGATATGGGGATGGTTAGGAGGCCATGATGGACAGAGGCCAGTGGGCAAATTTTGCCAGGATGGCCTACTCTTTTTCGAAGGGATTTTTAATGACCACAGGGAGTCAGGACTTCGGTTTAACATCTCATCCAAAAGACGGCGCTCACTGTGCAGTATAGAGTCCCCAACAATATACTGGGGGTTGAGCACCCCCTGCTGGCCTCACTTACACCACTTCCAGCAGCAACCTAGCAAGTTGGAGTATTTTAAAATGTAGTGGGCTTATTAAAAAAAAATAATAATAAATTATATATATACATACATATATATATATCAATTTACTAGAACAGCTATCTTAAGCTGCTTTGACTCAAATCTTCATTGTAAAAGCTCCATATAAATAAACATAAATTGAATTGAATATCTCAGTGGCTGTAGGTTTTCCTGTTTGCTTGCACTATCTGAATCAGAACCTGAGCAGTTATGTAATTTGCCACAGAAATGACTGGCATCCTTAAGTTGAATCATTCTACAAATTCCAGTTTTAGCCACAAGTTCCTGACATTTGCTCACAGACAGATCATTTTAGACCACAGGTCATTAAATGACTTTTTATTAGTTTTTGCAGGTGGTTTCCAAAGTCAAACATCTGAAACATCTATAAAATCAACATTTAAAAAAGGTTCGTAAACAGTCTTACACTGCCTTACAATATATTTTATTGACTCCTGAAAAAAGTGTTGCTGTGAAAACCAGTACACCTTACCATGCTTTCCCACCATGTAGATAACAATGTCAATGCCTGCCCCTTTTAAAACCAACGAAAAGCTTTTTTGTTGTAACAAACCAGAGCTGTCAATAGAAAAATCCCAGCACCACAACTGAAGTATTTTCTTCTTTTTCTTTTCTAATGCTGAACGAATAGTCCAGTACTCTATTTTAAATTACAAAAAAAATTATAGATAACATTCATTTTATCCATTAAAGCAGTATTGCTTAGAATGTGGGTTTGGTCTATTTACACATACAAACAGAAATCTGAAAAGAAATTCTAATGATTTCAATGGTGACTAAAAGGAAATGAGCAATACTGAAAAATACAAAGCGTACCAGTGGTAGCCAATGAGGCACAACACAACTTCCCAAAACATACTTTTATAGTTCGCTTAATCTGAAAAGTGATTTATGAGTTGTCTTTTATAGCATGTATTTTGGAGACAAAAACTGTCCGCCTTTCTTCATTATTTTGAGGTGACTGCACTTAAGGCAACTTAATTCTGGCAGTGTACAAACATTCTCATGTATCTGTTTCCTGCCGAAACAAATTTGCATATACTACACTGGAATGGCCTCAGGGCTACCTAAACTGCATTTTATCATAAACCCTCCTTTACAGAATAAAACACACTCAATGCATTCATACAGCAACAGACAACCAGCAAAACATGCAAAAAAAATAACAAAAACAAAGTAATAAAAAAATACGCAAACAGTGCACTACGCATACAGAGAAGTAAACTCAAGGGCATTAAAACCAGTTTTTCAAGAATTCATTTGCGTACACTCTATGACCCAACATGTTGACAACATGATACTCTACTGATTTGCATTCAGGAGCTGCGCAAGACTTGATTTTTAAAACCCTAGACATTTTCACAACTGTTCATGTGCCGCCTGAGTGTTGCATTGTTACTTGACGCTTTGTGTTGTCACAACCTTCCTCTCCTGGACAACGACTTTATGCGATGAAGGATTTTGGGTAATCTTGACAGATGACCCACCAATGCCAACATCACCAATAAGGGATCCTGCGGTGGATGCCTTGCCCATTTGAAGCCCCCCCTGGACAACACTCGATCCCCCTTTATTCTCCACATAAAAGACATTTTGAGATCCGCCATGAGTGGAAATACCATTGTTGATTGATCCCTGAATCACCTGCCCCCCTTGTCCGTCCACAAACATCAGGCCCTGAGATCCAGCAACCCCTCTTTGAATAGTCCCCTGAAGGACTTGACCGCTCGTGGCACCTCCATCCACCAGGAGCAATTGTGATCCAGACAGATTACTTGTGTGCAGCATCCCATTGTTGAGCGCTTGAGCAGGTCCGCCACGGTCCACAAGCACCATTCTCTCACCTCTCGTCAGGGTATTTGCTGCTATATTGCCGCCCTGCACTACCATGCCCTCAGCAACTGGGCCACTGTTCAAAACATACATGCCCTGTGTCATGGCAGGTCTTTCTGCGACCAGTACTGTGCTTGGCTGCTGCTCGACCATGTAGTACATTGGCTGCGGTTGCACCAGAAGAGTTGGAGCTGGCTGGACACTCGTAATCATAGTGGGGCGGTTGTCTGTAACCAGCACGTTCTCCACACGAGTAGATGATGCTGTGGCCATGTTGGAAGCTACGTTTACTGTGTTAACTCTGTTAGTGGCAATATTCCCTGTATTTAAGATGTTGGTGGTTGAAGACACCACCTCGGAGCGGTCCACTACAGGTTTGGGAGGGGGAGGAAGAGGAGCTGGTGCAGGAGCTGGGATTTCAGTCTTTTTACCTCCACAAATGTCAGCGAGAGTGGTGAACTTTGGCCCAAGGTCATTCAGAAACTCTAGGTCATTTTGATCTTCGAGTAAGCTGCAGCAGCCAACTGAACCAACAGGAGAACCCTTCCCTTCATAATCATACACCATAGGGTCATCCTTTCCAAATCCGTCCACTACACGGCTTTTCTGTAAAACAGGTACAGCAGGACATTTATATCAGATCCAGATAGAAATACTTTATATAAACCTGCGTTATATGTGACTGTGCACTAACCTGTGAATAGTATTCACACAGGTATCCATCAGATAATGCCATTCCGTCAAAATCTCCAGCCATATCTCTACTCGAATAGGCATTATTTCTCCCGATGGAGTTCATGTAGTCTAATTCCATTTCATTGTAGCCTCGGCCACCCATTGTGGAAGTGGACTCCAGGAAACCCGCAGCTCCTACTCCTGCTCCTACTCCTAATCCTAGTCCTGCAGAATGCATGGCACCCACAGCCATATAATCCTTTGTCATGAAACCCATCCCGTCAACATTGGAAGGAGGGCACATTAATGGAACATCCTGTTAAAGACAAAATGATTTACTTAAGATTTAGAAAAAACAACTTTTTTTTTACAACGTTTTAGGTTCAGTTGAATTGAACTCAAGCTTGTTTACCCAATTGGTAACCTAAACCCAGCTGAAGAGGTTGTCTCAGATACTTGGCTTACAAACAAACTATGGTACAGTTAAGTTCAGTAAATGTAAGCTGTGAAAATGATCCAACATCGATCAAGCACATAGACACGGCAGAAAGACCTGTGCCTTTAGAGTTCCTAGGGTCCTTGAGTTTTGCAGCCGTGAGGTCAGCCTTCCTCTAACCAATCCCAGCTCTATCTTTTATACAACTTTTATTTATGTGCAAATGGTCCCTTAAACTTACAGAAAGACTTTGTCAGTGGCAGGTCTTCAGAGCCCCTCAAAAGTGAGACGTACAAAGGGTGTATTCACATCAGCAAAGTCCAAACCAAACACAATTTCAGGTTTAAAATCAACATTGTGTTTGGTCTGTACTTTGCTGGTGTGAATACACCCTTTGTACGACTTGCAGTACTGTACTTGGTACTTTTTTATTCATACCCATACTAAGAAATACTAATTGCGTCAATAGATCTGATACATGATTGGATTCTGCTACAGTCAGCAAAAGCAGCTGTATCGTGATCAACAGACAAGGTATAGACGTTTCTCTCATTGTGAAATGTTTGTCTAAGTTTTTATAATCGAGTGTAAGTCTTGAGTATTGAGAAAAAAAGATCAGTGTCACTTTACTGGTAGCCTTACTTCTTTATAGTTGGTTTATACAAGGCCAAAACACATGTGAAATGTGGAGTACATATAAAAGTAAACAGTGGAAAATCACCAATATTTTGTACTCATCAATTGGATGCTGTATTTCTTACCCTATCCTCTCCTTGGCCTTCAGTATTGGAAGAGATGAGATGCACTTTGGTTTCAAACGGCATGTCTGTGAAAGCTCCTGTCATTCCACACGTACAGAGCAGCAACAGAAGTGGGATGACTGTAACACAGAAGGATATTCCCATTTATTTTAGCAACATATAAACTAGGGGTGTAACGATATTACAAATCGAACTGAAATATCGCAATACGCCAACCACGATGAGTATCGCGAAACTCTCGTGGCCAAAATCGTACTCTCACGCCCCCTGCTGCCCATTGTTGAGGTTGACGTCACTTGTCTCTAACTCAGGGGTCAAACTCAATTCCTGGAGGGCCGAAGCCCTGCACAGTTTAGTTCCAACCCTGCTCCAACACACTTACCTGTAGGTTTCAAACAAGCCTGAAGGACTCAATTAGTTTGATCAGGTGTGTTTAATTAGGGTTGGAACTAAACTGTGCAGAGCTGCGGCCCTTTTGGAACTGAGTTTGACACCTGTGCTCTAACTAATTGAACCAATTATAAAACAATTCTTTACTTTATCACATTTGATTCAAATGTATTAGTAATGATGAGCTTTTGTTCTAAATATTAGATTTTAAAGTTAGTATTTTCCAAGTGCATGTCATGTGACTTCAGTGAGCGATAACACTTGGTCCCTACTGTATAAGCAGGATGGCTGCTTCGCATATATTGAGATTGCAGATCCCCCAGACACATTTAAGTCACCTGTGTGGGAACTTTTCTGTTTTCCAGTGGAGTACAGGAATATAATTTGTGATGTAGACAAAGCGCATGCCTATCTATCTTAACTTTCACGAAACTTACTTATAAGAAATAACATTTAAAAAGTGTGGAATTTTCACAATGTAAGAGTGTAAGCAAAAGACTTACAACAGAACTGCCAGCAAAAGTATTTAATGTAAAAAGTGAAACCAGAACAATGCCCAAATATATACAAAAAAGATAAATATTTACAATAATAAAAAGAATATAATAAAGTAGTAAATTCAAACAAAGTATCAAACAAAAATTAGTTAAAGTCGAGTAAGGGGACGATAGTGAAGCCAAACAAAAGAAAAAAAATATAACAAAACAATTTTTAAACTCATGAATAACCCTTTACCCCGCAAAAAACTGATAAAAAAGAAAAGGTCTTGTGCACCGTATTCTTCCCTGTACTGAACTGTAGAATGAAATAAAAACAAAGATAACCTTCACTTCTTACCTTATGTCTTTAATAATACATTTTCTATGTTTTTGCCAAATGGAAGTTGTATGACATCTTCCCTATCCAACTTACTCTGAGAAAAGAGTGAACTTGAGAAGGTGTATCTCAATATAACTGGAAAGAGACGAACCAAAAAGTAACTAACAAATCAATCAAAATAAAATTGAACAAAAAACTAAAAAGTTCTCAATGTGGGCTAAAGTAATGCAAAATAATTTTACCCAAACGAATGTTAAGCAAAAACAATGAAAATCATAATCATCACAGCAAAATACACAAAAAAACTAGATCAAAGGAAAAAGCACTCTCCTTCGCATTTCCTGACACCGTTTTTATAACCACCTCCAAAACATGGCCAGCTGCGTTCGCTCCCACCGCGTGTTGTAGGAATGAACAAGACTCTCCTCGCAAGGCGCTGCCGTCGTGGAAATAAGCGACCTTTCTTTTCCCAGAACAAGAGCAGATTTTCCTCTTATGAATCCTCTAACTAGCGTTGTGCCGAAAGACGATAGTATCGTGTATCGACGATAGGCAAAAATATTGCCAAGAGCTGAAAACTATGACGATTTTAAAGACAATATTTAGCCTGTTTTGTAATAATGTAGACCTGGAGAGCTACCTTCCTGCAAATTTCAGTTGCAACCCTGACCAAACACACCTGTTTGTAATTATCAAGTGCTGCTTAAGGTACTATTAATTGGTTCAGGTGTGTTTGATTAGGGTTGGGACTGAATTCTGCAGGAAGGTAGCTCTCCAGGAACAGGGTTGGTGATATTACATGTTTTAATTGCATTATTTAATAAAATGAATAGTACAATTAATTGTAATTATCATCATTGATAATAAATTAACTATAAATAATATGATAGCTTCAGCTGTTTACATCAACATCAACTGACTGACACTTTTGGATAAAAATTAATTACTTCGATTGCTCTCCTGCCCTCTCTTTCTGTCTCTCTCTGTCTCAGCAGCAGCTGTTGAAGTGCGAGCTGCACTTAAGGGCAGAGCCACATCTTAGAGCAAATTAGTTTGCAACTTTGTTGCATAAAAATTATGGACTAAATAGCAAAACTGGATTTTATTAACAAACATGTTAAATAAAACCATTTGTAAAAATGAAACAACTTAAAAAGAAAATGAAAGAACTCTGAAACCAGCTCAAATGTTCTGGGATAAGACGTGTTGCGGTTGTTGATCATTTGAGACTCCTTTAACAGCACTGCTGCATGATTCTTCCTTGCTTTCATAAAAGTTATTTATCTTTTATATCCATTATTAATAGCCTATTTAAGTTTTAAGGGGCTTATAGACTATTTTTCAGTGCATACATTGACTGCTCCGCAAATGCACGGAATATTCGTGTCTTATTTGCGCTTAATTCGATAGAATGATAAACACGGACATACGCATTTTTCAGAAAATAACCCATTTGTTTTATATTTATTTTTATAGCCTAAAATATATTTTATTTATTTATTTAAACTAGTCTATATGCATCTAAACCAATCTGTATTTAACCATTCGTTTTGGCATTAAAGAATTATTGAACAGATTATTAATAACTTACCAAAAAACATTTTACTGAGCTCTGTAAAAAGTTTTAGATTAAATAGGCCATTTTATATTAGAGCAATAGGCTAATGCAGACTCGCCGCAGCCATGTCTAAAATGAAACTCCTATCAGAAAACAATAAACGCATGCCAAGCACAACATTGGGTTAGATCTTAGCAAATACAAATGTGACACTGTTGATGATTTCTTTTGTGAATGGTTAGACCTGAAGTCGCGCCGCGCTCAACTGAACAAAAACATGCAAAAACACCGAACAGAAACAGTCACGTGCGGGCACGAGACCTCCATCCTCCTCCCATCTGAAAGGACCTAAATGCATCCTTGTTTCTTCCATGCAAAGATAAATATCATTTCATCTGCTTCCATCCATGTATATTATATCCATTTTATGGCAGTCCCGCAGGCTGAGGATAACGGCATGAACCCGAAGTCACCATCAAATCCTGTCCCGCGCCGCACTGTTCCATCGAGTCTTGTTTGATGTAATTTAGGTCTCAAAGCCCATTTAGCTGTAAGACCGCAGTGATTTGCATTGGTTTGAATTATTATACAAAATCAAACGTTATGCAAATGCACTAGGTTATTAAATAAGTTTAAAAATCAGCCGAAAGGTTAATAAATATGTTTAGATATGGTTATATATATATGAAAACTTAAATGAACATCACTATGCCATGTGTGTTCAGAGATCAAGCCTCTCACCTGAAAATGTGGACATTATGGTGTTTTTGAAGATGAACTTAAAACTAATCCAAATGTTCTTGGAGAGGACAAGCCAGTTGATCTTTTAATAGTCTACACTGCAGTTATTTATTTAATTTTAGTTTTCTTAGTTAAGATGGCTGAACTAAAGAGAAGTGAAGTTTCATAAACTAATTTCGAGAGGAGTACGTGATATGATTAAGCACAACTGGCCGCTCATCTGTAATCAGTATTAATCCAATCAGAATGATCCTAGTTTACTATAAATAGATCATTTTCTCTCTAATGATCTATCTTCATCTTGGAAGAATCCCCCCTTCCACCCCATCTCCTCCCTTTCCTTCCTTTTCTACATGATTCTACATGACCTACATGATCTTGGATCTCCTGATATGCTATTGACCGGGCGGGAGCCCTGGGCTCAAATATCTTCAAGCTCAGGGTTCTCTCCTGGGACAGCATGCCAAACCTGCTATAAATGCTAAGCATATTTAAGTGGGAACTCTTGAATTGTTTTTCTGACTAGTCTATATTGGAGGTATTAAAATTTTTTTTTGTTGTTGTTTACTCGAGTATCCTGACTGTACTAAAGATGTGATGACAAAGTTAATAAAAAAAGTTTAGTTGTTCTTGTTATTAAGTGAATCTATTGTTACTTAGCATTGCTGTTGAGATGAAATCAACCCTAACCGCACAGCAAACAGAAACTGAACCAAACTGTGGCTCCAAAACCGTGAACCGAACCGAACCATGCCTTTGGTGTATGGTTACACCCCTAAAATAAACTATCAATCATGATCTACTTGTGAATATAGTAACTTACGCAATAATGCAAGAAGTCCAAGGAGGAGCAGGCCGATTCCTGCAGGTCCAAGCCTGGACCCCTTCTTCGCATCTCCTGTTGCGGTTCGATCACATCCACCCTGGTTTTTACATGTGCACACATCCACCTGCAGTTTCTGAGGTTCTGGACATTTCAATCCCTGCTGATCCGTGACTTCCACCATCAGCTCATGTGGTCCTGGCCATAGCTTTTCATGGGTCCTGAATATGGCTGTGGTGTCTAATAAGAAAAAGAACAGAAAATTTTAACCACTGCAGTGGTGACATCCTAATTGACAGATCTCTGAATAGTACTTCATATTTTGGACTTCTTGCAATAAATTGGACAAGGTACACAAAGGCCCAATTCTAATTCTACCCTTTGGCCCTACCCCTTGTTTTGTGCATTCATGTAAAGGGGTAGGGTTAACCCAGTCCTTTAGTTTAAAGGCATAGGGCTAAGGTTAAGGGCTAAATAGCCCTTGAAATGGAAATTTTCCAGGACCAAACTAGAAACCAAGGGAAATGTGAAAATTTCCCAAATTACACCAGCTACAATGGCTGCAGACTTGATTCAGGAGATGAATAAATGTAAGTATTTTTATTACTATTAAGAATTTTTACAACAAAGCATATATATATATATATATATATATATATATTATTTATTTATTTATTATTTATTTATTTTTTCTCCAATGTTTTCACCTAGAACAGTAGAGATTAACACTGTGTTTTAAGGGGTCGTGATTAAAAAATAAAAGAGGGATTGGGCAAAAGTTTTTAAACACATCAATGCCTCCAAGTGGTAGAAATACACACACATAGCTTTAATAGTTGTACATACCATTCATATATTCAACTGTCCATTTCCCCGCAGTCCCTTCTGAAACAATATTGAAATCGAATGGAGCTCCATTGGGTGGTGCATCCTCATCTTTTGCAGTAACCAAGACCGCATCCTTGTCAGTGCAAAGTGTCTGGACATTGCTTATCAAAGTGGGGCAGTGGTCATTAAAATCCTCCACCTGAATGGCAATGGTGCCTGTTGCAGTCTTCGAAGGCAAGTCTATAAGGAAAGAAAGTAATATATAAATGTATCAAAAATTTATTTTGTATATTATTTTTAATATGTGTTTTGCAAGTGTAGGAAAGAAACAAAAACCTAAACTGAATTCACAAATGAAAATTTATTTCATTATTATTATTAGTATTATTATCATGGCTTTATTGAACTATTGCAATATGTTACTTGACTGCACATCTGCAGAACTGCTGAACTGATTGAGACAAGTTCTGAAAGTTGCTGTAAATGGAGGAAATGGGGGGTAAAGCAATACTACTAAACGTAACCAACTATGTGACACCATCGTGTAGTAGTTTAGCATAAAACAAAAAAGTACTCTTGCTCATTTAGCCAGCTAGTTTTGAACTTCTAAAGTAAGATTACTTTGTGATGTAGTTATACTATTATAAAGCCAAAATTCACCTTTAGAAAAGATAAACTACTCCAGCTCAATTCACTGTTTACACTTGCTGGAAATTTGGCACACTGAGGACATCTACTGGTTACAACCAGGCAACTACAATATGATTAACAAAGCCTTTGAATTTTAATTTCCTGTAATTTAAAACGATTTTAGAAATTAGATTAAAGTGCCATAGTATATAGACCATGTATTATCATGTACTTTATGTATTTTATATTTTTGACTTATATTAGCAGTGTGACCCTATTAGAATTGTGACCCTGGGAGACACAAAACCTGTCATAAGGGTCTTTTTTTCAAGTTTGAGTTAAATAAGCTGAATAAATAAGCTTTTCATTGATATATGGTTTGTTAGGATAAATTAGAGATAAAATTACGTGAAAATCTGGAATCTGAGTGTTCAAACTATTGAGAAAATCACCTTTAAAGTTGAACAAATTAAGTTCTTAGCAATGTGTGTTACTCAAATCATAAACTAAAGTTATGATATAATTGACCAAATATACTCATGGATTTATGGTTTTTGGCATAGAAGAAATATCAATACATTTGACTCGTGCAACATGGTTTTGTGTAGGGTGATAAACGATATTATATAGAATTCTGATCAAATTTCTGTAATGTAATGTGTCTTTATATAGCGCATTTATCATGTATGGCCATAAACCCAAAGTGCTTCACAATCATAAAGGGGGGGTCTCTCTTTCCACACCACCACCCATGTGCAGCATCTACCTGGATGATGATGGATGGATGGGGTGGGTGGGGAAGATTGGGAGGCCATGGTGGTTAAGGGCCGAGAGGGAATTTAGCCAGGACAGCGAGGTTACACCCCTACTTTTTGCAAGAAGTGCCATTGGATTGTTAAGGAACAAAGAGTGTCAGGACCTCTGTTTATCATCTCATCCGAAAGATGGCACCCACTGACAGTAGTGTCCCCTTCACTTTTACTAGGGTATTACGACTCGCACAGACCACAGGTTGAGCGCCCCCTGCTGGCCTTACTAACACCACTTCCAACAGCAACCTAGTTTTACCATGTGGTCTCCCATCCAGGTACTGACCAGGCTCAGCCCTGGTTAGCTTAAGTGAGTAAACAGTCTTGGGCTGCAGGGTGATATGGCTGTGGCAAAACCTTTGTTAGTAACAGTGATAACCTCAGGACTTTTTTTACTCTATATTGATCTAAGAGGGAACCACAGCAGAAAAGGGCAACAATGAAAATCTAGTGTGAATTTTGAGCCGCCAAAAAGGGTCGGCCACCGAAAATAGGTTATGTTATTTAATGAACCCTCTAATTTGTGGCTTCAGTCATTCTCTTTTAAACCTGGAACATTAATAACTGATATCAAAATAAATATCTTTATTGTTTAATATGGAAAAGAATGAATCCAGATTGCATTTTTTGCCATTTCACCCAGCCCTAGTTTTATGGTTCTTCTAGGGTCACAATTCTGGCCAGAAAAATCCTAGTACTATCAAAGTATAATCGCAGATATGTGTGATTTGTTGTAATCAGTTTGTAAATTAATTTTTTATTTGTGAATTAAATTACATTTCACACAGAGAAAACTTATGTAGAGATCACTGTATGATTATAAAAAATTTAATTATTGAGTGTTTTGGGAGAAACGGCTAAATAAGTGTAAAAAAAAAATGGTACCTATTAGGACTGCTGGGGCCCAGTGGCTGAAATTACCAAGAGCTCCCGATTACTAAATCAGGGTCTCTGCAGATATCATAATGTCAAATTTAAGACCTTTTACGACCTTTTTAAGACCATTAAGTATTCAATTTAAGACCTATATCGCAATATCAAACACACGAGAGAAAATGTAAAAGCACAAAATTAGGGGTAAAATAAAGTTATTTAAATTGAACAGTACTAAAGAGTGGTGAAATGCATCATTGAACTACAGAAAAAACAAACATCTTAATGCAGATTTATACTTTCACCTGGCACCGCATCACACAACTCACCAAACGGATTAAGGCTTTTAGACTTGACACGTTCACCATTGAGATATTTTTTTTAAATGACAGGGGGCGGTCCAAAAAAACTAAGTAAAATCAGACAAATAAAAAGATAAACATTATCATTGAAGATGTTTTTGGGGGCCTCTTTTTTGTTGTTTTAACAAACTTATCCCTCAGGTTTTTCCAAAGTTTTACAAAAACTTTCCTCCTTTCCCATGGCTGTTGCAATTTCTAGCCAATAATTATTAGTCATTCTGGCAAGCGGAAATGTAACTATGATAGAAAATAGGTAAAAACTTAATTAGGTATTATAGCTTACTGTACTATTCACTCTTCAAATAAATCCCACTATCAATCCCATTTTATCTCTAAAATAAAGTGAACTAGTGTCTGCTGTACAGTGTTTTGTAAAGTACAGTAAAGTACTTTAATTACTCTGTTGTGGTAATACTATAGTTACTATGGTAACACAACAAGTGTATTAAAAACAAACTACCCAGTGCTTTAGTGTTTTTTTAAATATAGGGTATATTTTTCTACAGTTCAACACTTTACTGTAGTAAAACTACACTGTATTTCATTTTATCAGTTCACTATTCTTAATACTACAGTATCCTGAAGCATCTCTGGAGAGCAAAAGCACGAAAGGAGTCTGACGGAGCGAGCAGATCATTCGCACGTGAGTAGCCAGTGTTTTGAGAGCTCGCAAGCAGTTTTGTCCATGAACAAAGGAAACCGGCGCGTGAGCAGAGATTCGCTCTCTCGTATTACAGCGGTCCCGACTTATAAAACTGCGCTTGTGACATTTGTCAGTGAAATAACGGCATACTCTGCCAGCCGAAATCATGTCAAAGCGAACTTCCGCAAACACAGCGATGATGTCACATTTTAATATCAGAAAGCTAATTGGCTATTGCAAGTTGACCTTTTTGTAGTTGTAATACCGCAAATTACAATCGGGCTAGTGAAACAAAGAACTACAACACCCCAAAAACCTAGCAACAACAACAAAAAGAATTTAAATGAGCATTAGATGTAGTGTTAAATGGACATCGCAAAAATAAGACCTGTGCAAAAATATTTAAGACCTAGAACAGCAAATTTAAGACTTTTTAAAGCCATAAATTTCTATTTCTTTTTTTCATTTAAGACTTTTTAACACTTTTTAAGACCCCGCGGGGACCCTGTAAATGCCTTCCTGGTTTTCAGTAACTTTTGATGATTGATGATAAGATAATGCCATCTTCAGGACAGGTCATCATGTGTTTGCATTATCTATTTTCATTAAATTAAACAAGCAGTACACTATAAATGATGCATTTTAATGCTGATTACAATCTATTGTTCTGTCAGTAAACAGACAACTTCCAAATCGAAAACAAAAACTATTATAGAAAAATGACACAATCTGCATCCCTGTATAATAACACATACTGAAATATTTTCCCTTTCCCCTAGAACTTGCCTTGGGTTATGCTGAGGACTTTGGCATAATAAGTGCCATTAACAAGATACTTGGACTCGCGGTCAGGAGCCTTGTTCATTCTAATGGCCCCAGTCTTCTCGTCGATGGTCAGCCAGTTATCAGGGTCAGACGATTTAATGTACCTATGGGAAAAGGGAACATATTAGTTCAGGTTCATTTCTCATTCTCTCAGAGCTGGTTATATGCAAAACATACTTGACGTTGGTTGCTTCCTTTCCTGTGTCTGTATCAATAGCGGGGTATCGAGCAATGATCTCAGTGCTGTCAAAAGCCTTGCCTTCTGAGATGGGAATGGCTTTTGTTCCTGGAAAGAACTTGGGACCTTCTGGCTGGTTTTTCACCTTTATGTTTACATTGTAGAGCGGAACGCCTGACGATGACCATGAACTGGCACCTGTACCACCTCCGCTGCCACTGGCGCCACCCATGGCTCCAGCTCCACCAGCAGCTCCACTTCCTGCACCACCACCACTGCCCCCAAAGCTGATAGTCGCTCCTTGTGATCCTCCACTCACAGATGGGTGAAAGGGGGCTTTGTTGGCTACACCGATGCCAAGGTTCAGATCTTTGACATCTTCATAATCAACCGCCTGCAGATAAAAACGGTTCAGAACTGTTAAATGCTACAGAACTTAGCGTCAGGGTTCTTTGTGTGTTGTTTTGTTTTGGACAAGTATGAGAATGAGAGTAGATCAGAGTAGTTGGTGATTCATTCCACTGTGGTAACCCCTGATAAATTAGGGACTAAGGCAAAGGATAGTGAGTGAACAACATATTGATTGTTCAGCTGATAAAATACTTCAGAAAAAACTTTCAGTGAACAAAATGTTTATATATGTCTGTTTATATATTGTCCATCCTATACACAACTCCTTAACTTTCCTGACTTTGACTGTAATGCAATAATGTGCACCTTTTGTAAAGCTGTGTCGAAATGATAAATATTGGGAAAAGCACTATACATAAACTTGAACTGAATTGAACAAAATTACATGAAAAAGATCTAGTGTGATCTAGATAAAACGTTTGAGTACCAGTAATTTTAATGTAAATTGAATCTGTACAAATAATACCAATAACCAACTAAATTATTTGTAATTTTTTTTTCAACTAAATGTTTTAGGACAAAAAAAATCATTCCGAAGTTCAGTGTATATAAAATTGAAGGCACAATTATTAGCAAAATTCATAAATTTTTAATTTGCCTTCGGCTTAGTCTCTTCTTGCTGTGAGGTGACATTGCTATAGGCTGATTATACTTTTGTCTGGTGCCACGTCGCTGACCTCTGCTGACTGCGCGCGCACCTCACGAAACTGAAGAGGCTTGTATACTTGATGCATTCGCTGTTGTGATATTTTTTAAATTGACAGGGGGCCGGTCAAAAGAAGGAAACTGTAAAATCAGATGGATAAACATAGAAATATGAAACTTTCGGAACTCAACATATCATTAATGACATTAAAGATTTTTTAACTAATTATTTTTAGAAATTATTTTAATGATTTGAAGATTTTTATAACCAGATTTTTTTTTTAATCAAACTTTGATGCATTACTTGCTTTTCTTCATATCTTAGACAGTTCTACCTATTAAATTTGATTAAAATATTAATGGCAAATTAATATGATGTTTTTTGTTTTTATTTAGATTTATCTCACTCCATAATTCAGACATTACTGTCTGGTTAGTTTCTGTTTTCTGTTTTGTGCTAAAAAGGCAATAATGGCCATCCATTCCTGACCATTATCAACAATAAAGCCTGGAACAACAGAGCATCAGTATATTGTACACTGATAGGTTCAAATATTCTCTTCCAGTTATCAAAGAAATAATTTGTTCCTTCATTTTAGTTTTGTAACTATTAAATTGTTTACATTTAAAATTGTAATATATACATCAGTGTAAAACCAATGAATGGTGTAAAACATATTCTGTAATTGTTAATCACCTGGGTCTCCACTTTTGCCTTTTTGGCTTTAACAATCTTATCCCTAACAATCTAAACCTTTTAAGAAAAACTTTACTCCTTTCCCACAGCTGTTGCTATGTCTAGCCAACAAATATTGATCATCTGGTTATCTCTATGATCACGCATGGACGGATCATAAGGATGTCTGTACAAGTGTACCCATTTTTAGACAAAATCTCTATAAAGCGATTTTATATTCAACTAAAAATAAATCATCTGCCGCACAAACTGTTTACTCGTCTCAAAAAAATTTGTGCGCTCTGCCAGCTAAAATCATGTTGCGCACTCTAGCAAGCACGCAGAGTACAAACCAGGCTTAACCACTGAGCCGCCATAACGCCCCTATTAGAACAATTATAAATTATTATTCTCTTTAAAATTATTTCTATGACGTGATGTTTAATAAAGTAAGGACATTTTTTGAGTAGTTCCTAAATTGATATTCTTTTCAGGAGAAAATTTCTTTTTTATTTTGACTAGGATTAAAGCTGTATTTTCGAAAAAATAAATGTTACGGAGGCCAGCTAGTGAATTGCTTTGCAGGTAAACCTCACTTCTCTGACCTTTAAAGGTGCCAGAGACGCTAGAGGCCATGGTCTTTAACCTCCTTGTCAGAGCAACAGACTCCTATACAAAATATCACTGGATTATTCCCAGTTCAAACCGGGTTGGGTGCAGTAGGACTAGTGGGTTACATGTGGGGACTCGTCCAGATGAGAGTGATGTTTAGAGGGGGGTGAGTGTAATGGAGGCCAGCTAGCAAAGTGCTATGTAGGTAAACCACACTCCTCTGACCTCTAAAGGTGCTCTAGCGACAGACACTAGAGGCCATGGTCTTTAAACTCCTTGTCATAGCAACCGACTCCCATACAAAGAATCACTGGTTCGATCCCAGCTCAAACTGGGTTGGGTGCAGTAGAACCAATGGGTTACATTTATATTTTTAATAACTTAAAATATTTGTATAATATAATTATATAATTGTTATATAATGCATAATTATTTTTTGATTGGCTACAGAATAAACTACTGTTGTGCTAACACTTGCCTAGTTAATACTAGTCAACCTAGTTTAGCCTTTAAATGTTCACCATACAAAAGAAAAACACAGGTTAGTGATGGGATTTTTTATAATTAAGGCACAACTTGCTGTGAATAAATAATTGTGTTCTGAAATTTGTACACATATTCATTAAGAACACATTTAATTCATGAGATGTCAAAATGTTTTGAAATCCGACCAACACTGGTGTGAATACTGACATTTTTGTGTCATGCCAATACAACTTACAACCATGCTAGGATATCAAGAAGGAAAAAAGCACAAAAAAAAAATCACACACCTTGTCTAGCGTCAGGACCACTTCATTAGTCTTTGGGTCCATGTGAATGCTGAAGTATCCAGCCTCATTGCCTGACGCAATATAACAATCACCTTCCCAGTTGTCCGTACCCTTAAGATCTAGGTCACTAACTTTGAGCCTCATCACCTCGACATTCTCTGTATTCTCTTCAATACTGGCCTCATACTATGGAGAAAAAAAACGTTACTGATACCACATATGCACTATAGCAACATAAAGTAATGTGCATGTAAAGGTAATATAGTTATTTGCTTACTGGGCCTCCCAATGTAGGCACGTTATCATTGACATCATTGATCTTGATGGTGACCGTCCCTGTTGCGGCATTGCCACCTGGGGCTCCATTCAGGTCAGATGCTTTGACAAGCAGGACGTACTGATCAACAGTCTGAAAAAAATGGAGTGTGAATACACAAGTGGAATTATTAAAATACTGCTTATTGTGTTCAACAAAGGCATCATATGTTCCAGCATCATCCATTTAAAACTGAAACAATAACAGCTTAAGTTGGCTAGAACATCTGGTACTAACACAAAAGACACTCGTACTTGCTGTTGTTAAAAAAAAGCACCAGCGCAAATGTTATGTTGGATATCAGACACTCATATATTAACTGCCTCACCTCTCTATCCAGGTTAGGATTGGCAACAACCACTCTCCCGTTGTTTTCCACCCTGAACATTGACTGCCCTGCCGGCTGCTGGTCAACAATCTCATACTTGATCTGAGAGTTTGGGTTTCCTGGCTCATCAGCATCAAAGCAATTCAACCTCATCACTTCTGTGCCTGTGTAAACAAAAGGTAAACTTAAAATTTTAACTTAAAACATGAAATCCCAACCTTGAGGAGCTTAATTTTTATTGGTTAATACATTTTTTTTAAATGTATTAACTTAATGGTTTGCTTATTATCGTCACTATCATTATAATCATATTATCTTCATATTCAAATGATCAAGTATAGAATGATTTAGCACGTTGCTAACATGGTTTAACGCATTGCTAACATGTTAGATCATGTTTTTTTTCTGCATGAATTTGCTTGTGCTTATTGTTACCATCACAATTTTATCTCTATAATCGAAGGATTGGAGGAGGTTTAAAGTTTGTGGCTTACATGATTTAGCATGCTGCTAACATGGATTAACTCATTGCTAACGTGTTTGATTGTGTTTTTTGTATATTGTTAGCATGTTTCTAGCATTATTTAGCACTATGATTGACGTACTTTAGCACACTGCTAACATTTTGCATTGGATGCTAGCATCATTTAGCAGGTTATCAATTATTAACCTGATTTAACAAACTGTTAACAAAGATTGCTAGCATAAATTAGCACGTTTGATGAATTTTTTTTGTTTATTATCGTCACCATCTTGATAATCATTTTATCTTCATATTCAAATGATCAAGTAGACGATTAAAGTTTGTGACTAACTTGATTTAGCATGCTGTTACCAAGGTTTGACTCATTGCTTGATCATGGTTTTTGCATGATTTCACATGCCGTTATCATGTGTCTAGCATTATTTAGCACTATGATTGACATGATTTACCACACTGCTAACATTTGGATCGGTTGCAAGCATCATTTAGCATGTTATCAATTAGTAACCTGATTTAACAACTGTTAACAAAGATTAGCATGTTTGCTAACATATTATTGCATGTTTTGCATATTATTACATTTTTGCTTGTTGTAGCATTGGTTGCTAACATGATTTAGCCTATTGTTTAGATCTTACTACTTTTAAAATTATGTTTTACTAATTGCTACTGCAAAAAATGTACTGGTATTAGGATGCTGTTAGCATTTTTCTAGCATAATTTAGCACCTTAATAGTTACGTTTATTACAAAAGATTTGGTTTCTTTTTTTTGTTGTAGGGGGTAACACCTGCAGGTCACATACCAACAGCACTGAGCTCATCCACAGCCCCAGGATTCATCACACCAAAAACAGGAGCATTGTCATTCTGGTCTTTCACTTTAATTCTCAGCCCGATGTCATTCTCTGCAATTGAGCCATCTGTGAACAAAGCGATGCCTGAAAGCTGCGGAGGTGAAGAAATTTATTAAAATTTTATAACCCTTGTCAATAAGCGTAGGTGTTAAAACCACGTTCATCATCATTATCATCATCATCATCATCATCAATTACTTACATTGTACTGTGAGATGGACTCTCTGTCAAGGATCCCTGTTATTCTTACATATCCAGTTTCAGGATTCACCACAAACAAATTGAACGGCTCCTGATCTGCACCTACGCCTCTCAGTGAGTACCTCAGATTTTTCATTTGGGCAACTTCCTTATCTGAGCGAATCTATATCAATTAGAAACGCATAAAATGAACATAACACACACCTGACACATGGAATAAAGCACTGCAAATATCATTTCTTGAGATTTTGCTGCATTAATTTGTGAATATTGTTGTAATACTGAATTTATTCCTCAATATGTTGTTTTTTATGTCATTTTCAATTTTTGGGATGTACATGGCAATGAAGACATCACTTTGTATCAGCTGCTAAAATTGTAAATCACTGGTGTAAAGTACTTTAATTCTTTTTTATTTCTGTTTACTTCTGTTGAAATATGTATTCTTGTAAGCCCCTATTATTTAATATTGTTAAGGGATTAACAATGAACAGAAATGTGCTAAAGCCTTTGTTGATCTCAAATAAAATCAATTAATAGAAATACAACTACAATATTTGTTGTTAGTTCACATAAGTTTAGATCTTATTAACAAAAATGTGTTTGTAAATGTTAAATTAACCTGAACTAGGATTGATGGATGGTTTATAATTCTTTTTTCCTTATTAATGTTAAATAATCTATATCAGGGGTTCCCCAAACTTTTTCTTAGGAAGGGCCAAAATCCAAGCTTGATTGAGAGCTGTGGGCCAAAAGTAAATATAGCAAACTGTATCACATTAAAGTTGCCATGGGTAATTTACTTATTTATTTCATAAGTTAAAAAAATAATAAAAAATAGAAAAAATTACTTCAACCGTATTTACTAATGCATTTGTTTTTTTGTTTTTTTGAAAATGTACATTAATTTAACAAACTTATTACAATAAAACCATAAAAAAATATTTATAAAACACTGGAATTCAATGCCCTAATACACTAGTCATGCTGAAACTGCCTTTGCCTTGATTTGCACGGTGATGTCTTCTGCTTTGTCTCCTATTCGTTAAGTGACAGTGTGTAAATTGTTTTTTTAAATCTGATTCATTTACAACATTTAATTGAAACATTTAATTTCAGTTAGCTTCTTTTTGTAGCTCAACGATAAAACAAGCAAATAAAAGTTTCTTTAAAAATAAAAAATGACAATCTCTGTTAAAGGCATTTCCCAACCCTTCCCAATCATTTTCCCTCTGGCAGGCCAAATCAAAGGATACAAAGATACACAGGCCCTAGTTTGGGCATCACTGATTTATATAATTAATGTTCTTTTTTAATTTTTTTAAAGTATTGTGGTCAAGTAAACACTATCAGTAAAAGTCAAATATTTTTCTTACATTTTAAAATTTGTTTATATATGCTGAAAGCATGGAAGTACAGTAGTCTCACTTACCATCTGCAAATAAAAGGTCAAAATATGGGTTGAATAGTGTTCCGTTATCCGCAACACATAATATACTAATTATTATTATAAAGTTATTAAATAAAAAGTATTATTCTAACTTGTACTTATTAAAATATGCACAGTAACTCATTAAAAAAGTTTAGTGTGCTTATTTTATGTTACTGTACTTTTGACTTCTGAATGATATTTTAGTTTATGTCCTCTGTAAATCATGATAAGTCATTCTACAATACACTTTATTTATCAGAAACAAATGGAAATAAAATAAAACTATATTACATATTTATTATTTTGATGTTGATCTATGACCAATGTATATAAATAATAATATTATTAGTAGTAGTAAATGCTTAAGTGAACACTAAAAAGAACAGAGTATTTGCATAAGTAGTTAATATTGTCGAATGTGAACGAATTAAAGTTTTCCAAAATTCCTTGTTATGTTAGTGTTTTTGACAGAGAGGCTCGACTTACTTTTGCAATGAAGTCTTTCTTGGTGTAATCTACGTTTTCCTCTAGGATCTGTGGAGGGACGATCCATTCTCTCTTCTGCCTGTGGAGGGCCACAGAGTGCTGCAATCTGGCTTCAGCCTCAAAGAAATGCTGAAATGACAGAAATGCATGTCAAGACACACTTGTTCTGGCAACATAGTTTGTTTTCTGAAATAGAACAGAACAAGGGAGACAGAAGTTTATTTATTTATTTGTTTATTTATTTATTTATTTATTTATTTATTATTATTTTTTGCATTCATTGCCCTGACTGGTATAAGAGCATTCTGATAAGTATGATCTGTGCATAATTCATGATAAGTGAGTCATTTATAAATGATCGAAACTCTGTGGTTGCACATTTGCATGAATGCATTGTTTGAGACCAAGATCGAAATGTGCAGCATTTATTGTCTATGATAAAATGGTAACTGTTTTTTAGTAATATGTAAGTAGATGTAATAAAATAGTTACTAACTTTGCAAATAAAAAAAGTGTCGTGAGAATCTATAAACTTTAACTGTGTGAAGAAGGGTACACTTGGAATGACCCTATAATTAAAGGACATTAAAAAAATTTTAATAAAAGATCTTGTTTTTTTTTGTGTTTAGAAGATATTAATAATTAAGTGATTTTACACAACACATAAACAAAAACTAAATATTAGGTAACATTTTAAGACACAAAATAGTTTTTTTTTTCTCCATTTCACCAATAAAAATGTTTCCAAACCAACATTTTCTTATCTCAGAGCAACACTGAAATGTTACTCTATAAAAAAACTAGGTGGTTTTAATGTCATATTTATTAATGACAGGCCTAAAGCAGGTAATAAACCTGAAAACATTTGGAACCACAGCAACAGGGCAGAAGTGATAACATTACTTCACTTCTAATTAAAAAAGATAAGATCAAGAAATATTTGGCAAAAGGAAAATGCATTCCGTTTAAAACCATGATAACCTTAATTAGACCACACACACATTCAAGATAAAGCACACACACACACACACACACATACAGTGACACAAAGTAAATAATTTCACAAATCTAAAATGTAATTTCTGGCTGGTGTTTTCATTACTTTTTGCTTCTTTCTGAAATCTTTATATAATTACAAAGTAAGGGATAATGTACATCTAAGCGGTTGTTTTCTCAAAATAATGCCCAACTGGCTTAACAGCATTTAGACATGTAGTGAAGTGTTGGTGTAAAAAAACTGAATGGCTTTATTATATACTGTACTGACATACATTATCCTGCGTATTATATATCTACAGTACTTGTCACAAAAATAAACAGTTACACACAAAACATTGATCTGAGCTGTAATATCAATTCTTTTAAATGAGTGTAAAGCTTATACAGAAACAAAAATAGCTGAATAAAGTCTACACTAACCTGTATATTATTGAGTCCCTAGATTCAAACAATCAAAAACAGTGGCGTGAAAGATACACAGTAAAAAGTGCTGAGTTCACCAAAATCGATTTGTGTTGAGACAAATTGAGACAGTTAATTATGTTAACTTATTGGTTTTCACAAATTTAAGTGGATGGAACATAAAAATAAGTAGTTTGAACAAGCAGCAAAAATAATTTTATGAGTGTAAGCATATAAAAATTCTTCGGTCTACATTACTTCAGGTAAAATAATTTTCAGAGAAAGAACTCGTTAAGTAGGATCTGTTATTCAGATGAAATGAATTCGTTTTCATTTGAATAGGAGAAAGTATTTTTTTATGAAATGGTTGACATTACACTGCCAGAGGGTGGGGATTTCAACATGCCTGCAAATAAATAAAAACAGGCTTTAGAGTCTTGCAGATCCAGCTCGACTGCTGTCTGTCTGTCACAGACAGGGTTTGTTCAAAAATGGCTTTCACAAAAAGGTTTAAAAAAAGAGGTTAAAAGGGTTTTTAAAAATCTTACTACTATCGTAAGTTGCTTAGGAATCTAAATATCTAAATTACAGATATTTCAGAAGCTTTCTTATTTAATTAACTGACCATTTATAAAGATTACTAATGCACTATTTTTTAGAAATTATATTTAAAATTTTAGAATTAGAATTTAAAAAGGCTGACCGACCAAAAACATCGTTGTTGTCTTAGATTGCAGATTAAAAAGTGACCACCTACAAGTTTCACTGCATTTTACTGACCACTTTGAATTTTACCACAGATTAAGTACATAATACATTCTAAAAATGTTATGTTCTATGAAAACTAAAATCAACTTTAATATAAAGAGAAGTTGAATACAAAGCCAAAAAAGTCCATACTGACTTAACAAACATAAATATCGTTGATTTACATATTGAAAAAAATACTGTATAAACAAAAACATGCAGCTAAATAAACAAACATAAAAAAACATTGTGGATCTAAAAAAATCTAACCAAAGCTGAACTAAAAATGAACTTTGACAGAAATGTAAATGTTCTAAACAACAAAAAGTTGTTATTACGACATAATACAACCTGTTGCATTGCCCTTTTTTACATTTAAGTGCCATGGGACTTTTGCATTTAAGGGCGGACAATTGAAGAGATTTCCCTCAGGCATTTCAGATCAGATACAAGCCCAATCATTTTTTTTTTCATTTTTCTCTGACTTTATTAACATACATGTTGATTTACATACTTTGTCAAGAACACTACTATATAAACAAACAAAACAACAACAAAAATCTATCAAGTTAAATAATATGAATGCAAATTTATATTCACATTAACAGAAACTTTTAAAATATTTATCAATATCATTTTATTTTAAATGTCATTTTATTTCTACTATAATTATGGGTGGAAAATAAAGGAGATTCCTCTCAAGCAGCTCAATAACTACAGTTTTCCACATTGACTTTATGAACATAAATGCTGCTGTTAAATTAGTTCCATTGATAGGCCGACCCATTAATGTAGCTGAAGCTAAAATCTAAACCAACTGACAAAAAATTGACACTTTAAATGGATGTACAAAAGGTTGTGATTACGACATAATATAACATTTTACGATACCACTTTTTTGTTTTACATATAGTTGCCAAAACAATTGGACAACTGGTGTTATTCCTCTTCGACATTTCACGGGTCAAGGACAGTCAGGAACTCAACTGACTTTTCCCACATAAATATCATTTAACGTTTGTAAGAATATATAAAAGTTATTAACACTTTGAAAGTACTAGACTGCTAGAAACCAACAACAAACAATACAGTTTCAGTTGAGAGCCATTACGACGATTTCGTTTAAAAAAAGATACTTTCGAAAAGCAGAATAACTAACATGGAGTACATGGGTATGTTGACTATCGAGAGATGAACGACAAACTTACCGACAATCCAAAACAAAGCAGGAACGCGACAACAGGTGAAATTCGCCGGGCCATGGCCGGATGAACACGATATTTCCTGATCACCTGAGCTCTGTTTCTGTTACCGGCCGCCGGTGGGAAACTCTCGGAAAATAAATCCGCTGAAACAGCTGTGCGTTCTGGACCTCCTTGACGAGCGATAATACGGATGAGATCGATCCCGAGTGCTTTAGACAAACTCCTTATTCATTGTTTCTCCCACACCCTCACCTTGCGGGTTAAAAAGGAGGACCGAGCGTCACAAATGGGTGTGTGTGTGAGAGCGTCTAAATGTATGTGTGTGAGTGTGTGTATGAGAGAGACAGCGAGAATACAGACAGACACAGTACCAAAAAAAAAGGAGAAAGGGGTGGGGAAAGTATAATTTTCACAATTACCTTTTATGTATCATGAACGGGTGGTGCTAAGGAAGTATTAGCATACATCCAGAATAGCAAACCTGAACCCTTATGTAGTGTTTTGTAACTAATTTTAAGACAAATTATGTCTCCAAGGTTTAATACATTGCATTTTGCCAACTCGAGTTGAAATAATGCAAAATTGAATAATAGTTTTTCACTCAATTGTTTTTCTATAAATTATTTTCTAAAGGCTACTAATTTCTTTACAGTGCAGAATAATAATAAAAAAACGCATGTAGATACACTGATATACTGATAAAAAAATAAAAAAATAAATATAGAATAAGACAATAAAACAGTAGAAGCTAAAACAATTTCTCAAATTAGTTATTACATATATATATAGGCCTATATATATATATATATATATATATATATATATATATATATATATATATATATATATATATATATATATATATATAGTTGAGGTTATTTTTATTAGCCCCCCCCCCCCCTAGATTTTTTTTCTTTTTTAAACATTTCCCATATGATGTCTGATAATATTTTTTCTTCTGGGGAAAGTCTAATTTGTTTTATATCGGCTAGAATAAAAGCAAATTTATTATTTTTTTAACTCCATTTTAAGGACACAATTATTAGCCTTTTTAAGCTATATACTTTCTCGATAGTCTAAGAACAAACCGTCATTAAACAATAACTTGCCAAATAACCCTAACTTGCCTAGTTAACCTAATTAACCTAGTTAAGCCTTTAAATGTCGCTTTAAGCTGTATTGAAGTGTCTTGAAAAATATCTAGTCAAATATTATTTACTGTCATCATGACAAAGATAAAATAAATCAGTTATTAGAAATTAGTTATTAAAACTATTATGTTTAGAAATGTGTTAAAAAAATCTTCTCTACGTTAAACAGAAATTGGGGGAAAAAGGGGGGGGGTTAATAATTCTGTGGGGCTAATAATTCTGACTTCAAATATATATATATATATATATATATATTAAACAACTAAAAGTCAACTAATCGCTTTAAAAGCAACAGGCTTATGAAAAAGGCAACAAGTCATTTAAAAAGTCTACTGATCATTTTAAAAGCAGTGGGTTTACTCACATTTTTGAAAGGTAACTAATCACTTTAAAGGTCAACAAATCGTTTTAAAAGCATTTGGCATACACACAAAAAATCAACTAATTACTTTAAAACCTATAGGCTTACAAAAAAGTCAACTAGTCGTTTTAAAAGTCAACTAATTTTAAAAGCAATGGGTGTACTTGCAAAAAAAAGTCAGCTAATCACTTTAAAAGTTACAGGCTTACAAAAAAGTCAAGTAGACGTTTTAAAAGTCAACTAATCATTTTAAATGCAATGCTAGTCAACTAATTGCTTTAAAAGCTAAAGGCTTGTAAAAAAAAAGTCAACAAGTCACTTTACAAGTCAACTAATCGCTTTTAAAACTACGGGCTTACAAAAAAGTCAACTAATAATTTTAAAAGCAGTACATGTACTCGCAAAAAAAGTAAACTAATCGCTTTTAAAGTTACAGGCTTACAAAAAAGTCAACTAATTGCTTTAAAAGCCATAGGTTTACGTCCAAAAAATAGTCAACTAAAAGTTAACTAATCACTGCTAAGGCAACAGGTTTACTCACTAAGAAAGTCAACTAATCACTTTAAAATCAGTGTTTATGCACTTGTTAAAAGTAAAATCAACTATTACTTTTTTTTCAGTGTGTGATATTGATTAAGCGGTTTTTGGATTACTTTCTTTAAAGATCTGAACTCTTTGAGCTGTTCTTAAATCACACCTATACTAATGATTCCTCAGTAGTTCACACCTTAACATGTGCAATAAAAGTTGCTCATACTTAAAATGGCTTAACCGAAACGTGCCTCAGGGTTTGCCCGACAAAACAAATAATCATCAAATAGTTATCTGTTGTGTATTACTAGGAATAGATATGTGATGGTACACCAAATTATTTTTGAAATCAAATTTTTTTTAATCCCAATTTACCGTACATTTATAACATGTCCTGATGTGCTCTTTGACGTAACAGGCACTTCGGTGGAAAGAAGTTTTTTTTTTTTTTTTTTTTTTTTGGAGATGGTGAAGTAAAGGAGGTGTAGGAAAGGATTGGGGAAAGAAAACAAATATTGGGCGAGACAACTTCGAGGGAAATCAATGTCTCTTTCACTTACAGTACTCACTGCCACTCACTTTTAATAAGCTGTAATCTTTTTCCATATACAAGGGGACAAATAAAGTTAGTTTTACTTGTAGATTAAATAGCTTTTTTTGAGAGGGGGGGATGTGGGTTACTAGAATTATTATTAGAGACTATAACTTTAGAATTGATCAAGTTAAAATGGTAGTTTGAAAGAAATTTATTATCATTAAATTGACTTTAATGATAAACTCAAGTTCTGAAAATAAATGATGGTAATGACATTCATTCATTCATTCATTCATTCATTCATTTTCTACCGCTTTTCCGGGCTGCGTCAGGGGGGAAGCAGTCTAAGGAGAGAACCCCAGACCTCCCTCTCCCCAGACCCTTCCTTCAGCTCCTTTGGGGTGATCCCAAGGTGTTCCCAGACCAGCCGAGAGACATAATCCCTCCAGCGTGTCCTGGGTCTTCCCCAAGGTCTCACCCCAGTGGGATATGCCTGAAACATCTCCATAGGAAGGTGTCCAGGAAGCATCCAAAACAGATGCCTGAGCCACCTCAGCTGACTTCTCTCAATATGAAGCAGTGGCTACTCCAAGTTCCTCCTGGGTGACAAAGCTCCTTACCCTATCTTTAAGAGTATGCCCTGCCACCCTGCAAAGAAAACTCATTTCGGCCACTTGTATTCGAGATCTTGTCCTTTTGGTCATGACCCAAAGCTCATGACCATAGGTGAGAGTAGGAATATAGATTGTCCAGTAAATCCAGAGCTTTGCCTTTCGGCTCAGCTCCTACTTTACCACAATGCAATCAGTACGTTGTCATCATTACTGCTGCCGCTGCACCAATCTGCCTATCTATCTCACGTTCCATTCTTCCCTCACTTGTGAACAAAACCCCAAAATACTTGAACTCTTCCACCTGGGGTAAGGACTTTCCTCCAACCTGGAAATGGCAAACCAACTTTTTCTGGTGGAGCACCATGGCCTTGGACTTGGAGGTGCTGATTCTCATCCCAACTGCGTCACACTCGGCAGCAAGCTGCTCCAGTGCATGCTGAAGGTCCATGTTTGATGAAGCCAACAGAAAAACATCCTCTGCGAATAACAGAGATTAAATCCCGTGGTCCTCCAACCAGACCCCCTTCAGCCCCAAGGCTGCACCTTGAAATTCTGTCCATAAAAATTATGAATAGAATTGGTGACAAAAAACAGCCCTGCCGGAGTCCAACATACACTGGAAACAAGTCTGACTTATTGCAGGCAATGCGAACCAGACTCCTCCTACTCTGTTCATACAGTGACGAGATGGCCCTTAACAGAGCGCCTCTGACCCCATACTCCTAGGGCACTCTCCAAAGAATGCCATGAGGGACATGGTCCAATGCCTTCGCCAAGTCCAGAAAATACACGTGGACTGGTTGGGCATACTCCTATGAACCCCTCGAGCACCCTGGTGACGGTATAGAGCTGGTCCAGTGTACCACAACCTGGACCATAACCTCATTGTTCCTCCTGGATTCTAGGTTCAACCATTTAGGAGGATCCAGGGCGTATGGACATAGAAAGGCAAATAAATAACTTTCCTGATAACAGATGATAAACCAAGTTGGAAATCTAAAAAAAAAGATGTTCTAGAACTATCTCTGTATGTATTGTGCTCTCTAAATGTTCTGGACCACAAATCACTTCACATACTTTTATATATATATATATATATATATATATATATATATATATATATATATATATATATATATAGACACACACAAACACATACATTATCATCATCTAATTTTGCAAAAAGGGCAGTATGGATAATTCATATAGAGGTTTAAATATTTTAAAATGTATTTATTTGGTTCATTTTAAAACTTCAAAAATAATGTATAAAGCAAGAATCTAAAAAAGGCATTATTAATGGAGAAAAGTATTTTGTATTTCTGTGAGTGGAGTGGGGGTGTCATGGTAGCTCAGTGGTTATTACTGTTGCCTCACAGCAAAGAAGTTGCTGATTGTAGTCCCAGCTGGGCTAGTTGGCATTTCTGTGTGGAGTTTGCATGTTTTGCCAGTGTTGGCGTGGGTTTCTACTGGTACTTCAAACACAATCTTATGGCAATTCGAAACTTTTTGATTTAGTGGCTAATTCAAATGAATTTGTATGATCTAATTCGTACAATTTAGTACGGGGGGGGGGGGGGGTTCACAGTACTGAGTTGTGGCGGGAAGGGCATCTGCTGCGTAAAACATATGCTGTAGTAGTTAGCAGTTGATTCCACTGTGGCGACCACTGATATATAAGGGACTAAGCCAAAGGAAAATTAATGAATGTCTGTGAAACTGCGGAACAGACCAGGTCTAGAATTACAGAATCATAGAGGTAATTGGATTACAGTAATGTAAAATAACTTATTATGCATTGTTAGTTATTATTAATGTAAAGCATGGAAGGGGTATGATTAAGTAAGCAAATAAGCGGCTTTCTACTCATTTTTTAAACATCTATAAGCTAAAATAGTTTTTTTATTGTGCATTATTATTATTATTATTATTATTATTATTATTATTATTATTATTATTATTTAGTTTATTTATCATAATTTAATTTTTTTTACATGTTTAAAATAAAGTGTGAGTGTGAGTGTGAATGTTGAGTTGATATTTCAGTATTAAGGTGAGACATAGCAGACAAAAAACAATTTCAGAGATTTAGAGATTTGGACCAGTTTGTCTTTCCACATAGTCAGTCTAATGGAAAATAAATATTTAAAAAACACTCG